TCACCCACCTCCCACCCAGACACAGCCCTCCTCTCCTCCAATCAGCCTTTTTATCTTTCAACAATTACATTTAAGCAAACAACAAATAATTACCAGATATCAGAGGAAAGCTTTTAATGTGCCAAAAACAATAAACAGAAAAAAGCAACATGAAGAAAACAGACTACATAAAGATAAGGAATCTTAAGCTGTAATTAATATTTTCAAATAATTAAAAGAGACTTCACTCATAAAACAGGAATAAGATATCCTAAAAGAGAAATATTCAGAGAACAACCCTTAACAATAACAGCATAAATGAAAAGAACAATAAAAGGACTGAATGGTAAAGTTGAGTAAATTTCCAAGAAAGTAAAAAAAAAAAACAGTGAACTGGAAAGCAGGAAAGAAAACTTAAGACAATTGGAGGATGAGTTCAGGAGATTCAACATCCAAATCATAAGAGGTCCAGAGAAAACAGACAGATAAAAATGTTGGTAAGCAGATAATCAGAGGGACTGCCCAAGGAACTTTCAAAAAACTGAAGAACATGGAGTTTCCAGATTGAAATTGCCCACTGAATCATGCACGTTCTCAAACATGTAGCTTCCACTCACTCTTTCTTAAGAAGTTACTGGAGGTCCTGACCGGTGTGGCTTGGTGGGTTGGGCATCATCCAGCAACCTGAAAGGCCACCTGTTGAGTTCCTGGTCAGGGCACATGCCTGGGTTGTGGGCCAGTTCCCTGGCTGGGGGTGTGCAAGAGGCATTCGATCAGTGTTTCTCTCACACATCGATGTTTCTCTCCTTCTTCCTCCTTCCCTTCCCCTCTCTCTAAAAATAAATAAATAAAATCTTAAAGAAAAATAAAGAAGTTACTGCAGGGTGTGTTGCACTAAAATAATGAAGTAAACCAAGAAAGGAAGGCAAAGGATAGCGGAAACAAGAGATGCGATACAAGAGAAGGGTGAAGGGAAGCCTAAAATGACAGTGAAGGTTGATTCCAGGACATCAGTTGTGCACCAGGCATAGCGAGCGTTCAGTCCAGACGAAGACAGGTCAGTTGCACCAGGAAAGAGTTCCTCATGAGGTTGATAGAAAACCCAACGTGAAAAAGCGTGCGTATGAAGAGGAGAAATTGACAACAGCATTTTGAATCTGAATAAAAATCTTGGCAAATGAGCAGGAAAAAAAAGACAAGTTTAAATTCCAGCAGAAAAATATTATAGATGAGAGAAAAAGTAATCATAATTTACTAAATGACTGTTGTATTTCATGATCTTAATAAAATACACAATGAGTAGAGCTCTTACCAAAATTATAGTATATCTACCTATACTAGGAAGATGGTGGTGGGTGGATGGATAAGGAGCATAGTATGTGTGGTGTGGGAGGAGACTAGAGATCAGAGCAAAAACATATGCTTGTCTTCCATAGATTTTACCTAAAACTGAAAAATCAAAAAGTAAAAATACAAAGATATTATGTAGAAATATGGAAGTAATTACCTGAAGAATCAGCTAAAATATTTTAAAGTAGTCGTTTCTGAGGAAGGAGAAATATTGGGGAGAGGGGCTGGATACTGTTTGTCTCAATCGTTCTCATAGAACTCAATGTTCTTAAAGAACTTTAAACTACGTATATATATAACTTATTTGAAAATAAAATCTTTTTCAAAAGACCATTGTATTTCCACAAATAGGAATAAGGAAACTTTGTAAAGTAACAGCTTTATTGAAATAGATTTCACATACCATACAATTCACCCAGTTGTTTGTAGCATGTCCACAGAGCTGTGCAACCATTGCCACAACTGGTTTTAGATATGTCATCACATCTAAAAGAAACCTCATACCCATTAGCCGTCAGTCCTTATCTACTCCCAACCCTAGACAACCACCACTCTACGCGCTATCTCTATGAGTTTGCCTATTCTGGACATTTCATATACATGGAAACATACAACATATGGTGTTTTGTGTCTGGCTTCTTTCACTTAGCATGATGTTTGCATGTTCCATCCATGTTGTAGCAGTAATCAGTACTCATTTCTTTTTATTGCCAAATAATACTCCATCTCATGGACATAACGTTTTGTTTATCCATTTGTTCATTGATGGACATTTGGGTTGTTTTTACTTTTTGACTATTATGAATAATGCTGCTATGAATATTTGTGCTCAAGTTTTTGTGTGGACATTTTCTTTTCTCTTGGACGTATATCAAAGAGTGAAATTGTTTGGTAATTCTACGCGTAACTTTCTGACGAACTGCTAGACTGTTTTCCAAAGTGGCTGCACCATTTTATATAGTCTCTCGACATCCTCACCAACATTTATTTCCTTACTTTTTTTATTATAGCCACCCGGGAGGGTGTGAGGTGGTACCTCATTGTAGTTTTGCTTTGCACTGAGATAACTTTTAAAATCTAACATGTTAGGAAAAAGAAAACAGGTTGTCAAAACCCTATTTTAGCAAGACTTTGAGGAAATAAATGCTCTTATTAGGGATACAGTCTGGTAAAAAAATTTTTTGAATGACAGTTTGATATATCAGAATGTGAAATGTACTTAACCTTTGACTGTATTTCCCATTTCTGGGTATTTGACCTAAGAAGAAAAATCATTTTTTGGTGGGGTGGTTGTCTTCATTGTATGACTATTCATAATCTCATAATACCAAAAAACTTAGGAACTAACTTAAATGTTTATCAAGGAGAACCTGGTTAAATAAATGATGATGGAGACATAAAATATCTAGGTAGTCTTTAAAAATAATAATGGAGGTATAGTATAGTTTTATTGCCAAGGAAATCTATTCATCACATATTGATTGGGGCCAAATCCAATTACCAAATACCAGCCTGATAAAATCCCATTTGCGTATAATATCTTTATGCTTTGAGAGATGTGTTTGGAAATGGTGTCCAAAATGTTAACAGTGATTAGCACTAGTGGTGGAATTTTAGGTAATTTTTTAAAACTCTGTGCTTTATATTTTTTGTATTTAACTTAATTAAAATCAAATGTCTAAAATTTTTTGAGAAAATTAAAAAACTATTTTAAAAGACTATGTGTTTGAGAAGTCATATTTTGTGCTTAACTAAGGCTTGAATTTTAGTTAAATATGCTTCCCCTATCATTATTTTTTATACCTCAAAACCATCTAGTAAAGGTATAAAGAAAGTCATTCTTGTGGTGATTATATCCACTTGGTGTAGAGCCTGTCCTGGGCTCTTCCCTCAGAGAATTTTGTGAACTTTAGTCTTTACAGTGGTATTTTTCTGTGGAGGTATGCCAGGTATTAGAACGTGCTAAAGCTCATGGTTAGGTCAAAAGGTTCTCTGTCTGTTCTAGTTGTTGGAATAATTGTTTTGGATTTACACATTCTCTCTCCCACTCCTCTATTCTCCTTTGCAGGAGAATAACATTAAAAACAGCGATGAACTTTCTTTGAGCTTGTTATAAGAACTATTCTAAATACATTTCATATATTTTACTCATTCAATCCTCATCAAAAATCCTCTGAAGTCGATACCACAAGTATGTTATTTTATAGATGAGGAACCTGAAGAAGCACAGAGAGGTTAAGTAACCTACCCTAAGTCACCCAGCTAGGACATGCGGCATTGGGACGGAGCCCAGTGAGCCTGGTGCCGAAGCACCTGTGATCCTAACTGCCCTTCGCCCCTGCCTGTCTGACGTTATTCCGAAATATGACTCTAACCACTTTTTGCTTGTTTACTTTGTTTATCCTCCGAACTGTCATTGCTACGAGAAATGTTCTGGTTGCTGAGCCAGTGAGTACGCCTGACTGGACTGGCCTGCAGCAAATGCTCTTTAGAGCCATCTCTTTGCTGTTCACATATTTACCCATTGATTCTTTTAAGGTTGTACTTACCTTTTCTTTTGACATCTTTTTCTCTGAAATGTTTGGAGCTCTCACTCCTTGAAGATAGAGATGCATTTTGGATTTTTTAAAAATGTGTTCCTAGGTGTTTTTCAGTTTTGCATCAAGACCTCTGAGAAGCGTGCCCACCGCCGAGAGGGCGCGCACTGGCGGCCCTTCCCCAGGACGCCCCGCCTCCTGTGCCGCGGGCAGGCGCTGCCTGGTGCCCAGCCTGAGCTTTGAGTCTGACCGCTTGAGGAAAACATATTTCTATAAGGCTATCATTTATTCTGATTATCAGAGTGATATCTATTTATTCTAAAAATTTGGGGAAGTACGAAAAGGATAAAGAAAAAATTAAAGGCACTCATACCCCTACCATCATACAATAACCAATAGGAACTATATTTTCCTAACATGTTTGTTAGGGAGTTCGTATTCATTCAGGAAGGCTATGTAAGTCTTCTAAATAAATGATTCACAGATGATGATTTTAGAAAATGCCCATCCACAGAATTTAGTGGGTAGGGTTATTGTTAAATTTAAAGATGTACCAGAGTTGGTGAAATTTAAATTTCTTAGTTTTATATTCCAGTTTGATTTTTATGAATTAAAGAAAGGGAAAACAGTGCATATTTTAAAAATTAGTATGGAATCAAACAAAAAGATCTCAGTGGCTTTGTTTGCTCCTGTAAGTGATTTTCCCACTTACTTTTGCCTAACTGTGTCGCATATATGGCAGGTTTCAACTGGTGCTTATGAACTGGCTGAAAAGAAGGTTCATGTGTACAACACTAAGATCTACCTGAAATACCATTAAAATTTAACTTTCGATATTGGTAATTTGGTTGTTATTGTATTTGCTGGTTTGTTGTGGCTGAAATTTAGTAAAATTTATTTAGAATATTGTACTGTTTTCCTGTGTTATAAATCTTAGCATTATAAAATCAACAACAAAAGAAACTCATGTGATACATTACTAGTAATAATTATGTTAAGTTTGATTCAAGTTGAAATGGCTTATACTGAATATTATTTTTAAAAGCCATTTCTTAAAAGAATGACTGCAGAGAATGCATATAGAAGAGACTTCTATAATAATAATAAAAAAATCTATCCCCTTGTGTTTTCCAGGCATCTGGCCGGCCGAAGAGGTTTTGGCTTACTACTGCCTCAAGCACAGTGATGTATTCAGGTACAAAGCTGTACTTACAAACACCTTTTTTTGCCCATTATGGGTAGTATGTCTCCATATTAAAGATTGTTATGATTATATTCTTGAATTAAATTGTTTAAGTATAAGAAAGAAGAAAAGAAAGGAAGGAAGAAGGAGGGAGGGAGGAAAAAAGAAAGCAGAAAGAAAGGAAAAAAGTTCACCGCAAAAACATGTTGCTTCTGAAAAAAATCTGAATTGCCTTTGGGTACTAATATTGCACAGCACCCGTGTTGCTTTATGTCAAAGACTTTTGATTTCCGCTCACAGCTTTTTATTTCACTTTGATTTTGGGGAAACAAAAGTGAGGCTCCAATCAATCCTTACTGATTGTAAAGGTCAAAAAACAAAAACAAGAAAGGCCTTCTTTAAACTTCTGCGAGGCAAATTACTACAGGATTTTTGATAAATAAATACCCCACAGCTATTGTTTAAAGATGCCATCCCACCCCCTGGTTTTAAAGGTGTTTTATACTAACAACATGTATTTATAAAATATAGTAATAAATAGTAATTATAGATTCATGCTAGGTAAATAAATGTTTTTAACTGTCAGTGTGCATTATAGATCAAACCGTGGATGAGATTTAGAAAAAAAAAACAACAACAACCAAAACTCCTTTTATTTAAAAATTCAAAAGATGTGTGGTAGACCCAGAAAATATAGGTTTTTCATTTAAAATTTCATGTTATAAAAGTCATCCAATATAGACTTCCTGAATAGCATGTTATGATTCCAGACAAGCTGTTAGTGATCATGGTGTGTGTGTTTTAACAATATATACTTACAAAACTGGGTCAATAATACATATTTTTTGAAGCTCTATGGGTCTGTATTTACCAACCAGTCTATAATTGCTTGAACAACTAAATACTCATTAAATGTATTTCGGACTATGAATGTTTTTGTTTGGCTTCCTCTCCTCCCCTTCCCTCTTTTTCTTTCTCTCCCTCCCTTTTAGTGCTGCTTTTTTTTTTTTTTTTCTTTCTCCTGGTAAGGTAATAAACTTCCCAAACTGGGAAGAAGAAACAATCTTAAGAGTCTAAGCTTTTAAAATAAGAACAGGGCTGTACTGAATTTGGGCTGCAGAGCTGCCCTGGAAGTCTGGCATTTGCTCATCTCGCTGTGCTTAAGCTTGACTGGAGCTCCAATCAGCGAGCGGTGGGCCAGGGCAAGGATGTCACACGTTGAGGACTGATATTTAGGCACAAAGAGGAAGGTAAGTGCAGAGTGCCACATTAGACTGTCAGCTTTAACTCTGAGCCGCTTTACTTTGGAGCGGTGAAGTCAGAGCCCAGTCATTACTTTAGCCTGGGCTTGCTGGCTTTAACCATATTATGTCCCTGCATTGTTTATTCACTGTGTTGTGTTGGGGTCAGTTGTGATTTAAGTGTTAATTGCTAAATGCTCTTTGTGTAATTGTTCTTTATGGGGGTGGTTCAGCTTTCCCAAATGTTTCAGTTTGTTTCAGATTTTTTTTTTAAATCCAAGATTGCATTTATTTGTGTATGTGTTGTGTGTATGTGGCTATAATATAGGTATATACACACTCATATATATTCTTCATTTACTTGTCTAACTGTTTTTGAAGGAATGAATGTGGATTAACAGTGTTATCCTTTCCTAACAATTATCTTTCGCTACTCTAGCTAGTTTAGTTCTAAAAGACAGCACCATTGACAAGGGGAAAAAAAGGGAACCTTCTCAGATTTTTCAGCTCAGCGGTGGTAATGTTGCAGTGAACACTAATGAGGGAACCCCCACTGATTTGCCTGCTTTGTGACTTTTCTATTTCATAATTATTTTTAAAACGCAAAACGACATGAGGTGGCCTAGTCTTGTCTCTACAACTTCCTGGTAGCGCCGTTCTTACTGCAGATGGCAATTTGTTCTTGTAACATATATATCTCTCTGACCATTTTCATCTAATTTGTATGGGTTCTACCATTTCTTTTCTCTCTTTCAGGGACCTTGCTGTGTGTGAGCTAGGGGGTGGCATGACATGCTTGGCTGGGCTCATGGTAGGTCTTTTCTCAATTCCAATCCCATTCAGAGGGAGGAACAAAAGGAAAAATGTTCCAGGGCCTCCAACTGCTGGGTCAGAGAACCGTCAACAGCATCAGCTGCGGTCAAGCTGCCGGGTCTTGAGAGACCTTCTAGATTGACTTACTTTCGGATCATATTGATTTTATGGTTGCCTCGATGAGCAGAAACATTTTACCTCAGTGTAGTCAATATCGCTTGTCGTGACATTCCAGGCCTCGCTCGGTCTTTCTTTGCCATAGTGAAAGCTTTTTTTTTTTTTTTTTCAGATTATAGTCCTATTTGCTAAGATACAGGAATAGCCTGGCGAATCACAGTTGGAGCACCATGATATAGCTGCTAATGTTTTGCCTGCATTATTACACCAACAAACATGATCCAGAGCGCTCAGTAATTAGATTCTTTTGAATTAGATTGGCCATTCAGGAACGTCGTTCCCCATTCTCTGGGTTCTGAGTCATGTATTCAGGAGATACTATGTAGCAGCACAGTGCATTAGACAAGTTTTTATGTCTCTACAAATAAAAGCATATTGTTACACTGATTGGCATTTGACAAACCTGTCGCTCTTACACAATGTGTCGAGGTTACAGCCCAATGTGCGAGCATGTCAAAGCTCACAAAAAAATTACCCTCACAAAGCCATCTGCCTGCAATGCAAAGTTATATGAAGGGCATCAGGCAGTCAGACAGAAGCAAGCTGAAAGGCAGAGTGACAGCCTTGTATGATGGCTCTACTAGATAAACAGAAGCCCACAAATGAAAGCCTCTCAGAATACCATCATCCGCTGTCACAATGCAATTACCGAACAGAATGATAGCAAGATAGAGGCTCCCGCAAATGGAATGATAAAAGTATTGACTGATTTGATTGAATGATTAAAATAATGCAGACATAAAATGAAAAAAGATTGAAGATTGTTACAGAGAAATAGGTGAGGAAGCATGATACTGAAGGCTTGTCACTCCTGTCTTCACTTCCACACAGACAAGCATATTTGCTCATTGTTTGCTGTGCTCCTTTTTTTTTTTCCAGGTTGCTATTTCTGCAGATGTCAAAGAAGTTCTGTTAACTGATGGGAATGAAAAGGCCATCAGAAGTATCCTTATTCAGATAGAAAACAGGTTTGTTGTGCTCGTTCCTTTTTCCCCGCCGAGTAACAATTGATATAAAGAAAGGCAGCATGGGGTATTAAAAAAGAGTTCCCCCTTATACATGAGAAGTAATTAAGAAAAAGTAAAAATATATGGAATTCACTGGGTAAAACTAAGTGGTTTTTTTTTTATTTTGGTGGGTTTTTATTGTCACTTCTCATTAAAGGAGCCTATGATTTCTGGACCGCTCAAGGCAATGTGACGATTTATTTCATAATAATTTTCAGGCATTCTTATTCTTTTCTTTCTGTTGCAATTTGACAGTGTAAAATAAAGTATTTAATATTTATTATATTAGATATTACTAACAAAAATTAACTTCCATTCGTTAATACATTTCTTGCATTTGATATTGTACATACATGCCACATAATATTATACCTACTCTAATTGAGGAGTTACTTCTATCTCCCTGCTGGAAAAAGCTATCAGGTTTTCATTATTTCCTTTTATTTAGGATTATAAAAGCTATCTCTTTTTTTTCCCTGCCATGCTATTACAGTTTAAACCCCATTATATTAGATTATGCTTTACTAATATGTACACAGAGTTCATGAAAATTGAACTGTATTTTAAGAAGAAGCAAGCATAATTTGTGGCTACTTTAGCAATCGAGCTGATTTGTTCAGGGGCAGTTAACAGCCATTAGAAATTGAGAGGAAAAGTGGAAGATGTATTTGCTTTGGATTTTTTGGTGTGCCTAACATTTACATTACGAAGGAGGTAATCTCCTTATTTGAATTTGAGACTCCTAAAATGTCAAAGCAGGTCTGATTTTTTTTTTTTTTGTGGCATCTTACATAAAATGTCTTTTCCATTTTCTTCTTCTACCTCTGCCGTGTAATTTTTTTGAAAATAAAATTTGCAGCAGCTCCATCAGGCTGCTCAAACAGGAGAAGGAAGTACAAGAAGCACAGCAGCTAATATTGTTCCGCAGCACTTGTGTGCTCTACAGAGCCCCACCCAGCTAATTGCCTGACAGACTTAAAAAAATTCAGGAAGGAAAAACAGCCAATCACAGTCTTGGCCTTTCACACAAGGGAAAGAGATCACAAAAGGTGCTTACTTTTTTTAAAATGCAGGATTTTAATCATGACTGTCGCAAGTTTCTCAAAATATTCCTGAAGATGAGCTGATGTTGTTCATTCACTCTGCTTTTATTCTGAGCTCTTCGTGCACTGTATCATTTCACTGTGCTCCTCCTCCACATGTCAGGGAACACAGAGAGCGAGAGGAAGGCAGGTAGGCTGGCTCAGCCCCAACGGATGTGTTCTTTGAGAGGGGGGAGGCAAAGTTATTGGACAAGAGAAGGTCATTTTAGCCACAGTAACTTTCAGATTGGGCCCAGCAACCTGAGGTTTTGTTTTGTTTTTTTTTTTTAAGTCAGCAGGTGTCTTATTTAATAGCCTCAGAAACCAATTAGAACTTTTAACAAACTATGGGAAGCATCTGTAGTCAGTATGTAAATTTAATTGTACTAAAATTATTATTGAGCTAAACTGCAGAGCTTCCAAAGAGGGAAGCAACGCTAATGTCATTAATTAATGCACCTTTGCTTTAAACAGCAAAGATGCCATGCCAGCTCTTGAAATCAGAGAGGAAATCTCAGATTCTGTATTCACTCTGCTGGCCTTTCAAAGAAATGATTGGTACAGCCCCCTCCCAAGAAAATGGATTTTTAACATTTGGTCCTCAGAAGCTCAGCCCCGAGAGTGCTTTATTGTGCTGGGTTTTACAATGGGTTTAATATAGCAGGGTGCCAAAGGGCAGGAGGGGAAGAACTTTACAATGTAGATAAAGTAGGTCCTTTCAGGATGCAGACCAAAACTGGTAGTGTTTTATTTCACCTCTTAGGACTTTCCTAGTGGAGTTCAGTGTTTGCCATGCATTTGTTCTATGTTTGTGGGCATTTTTTCTGTTGTAACTAGATCTAATTTTTTTAAATTAAGAAGGAAAAAATGCCTAAAGCCTTAAAATTGGCAATGTGTTTTTCCTGCTCTTAATACTAACGATATTCCTGATTTACTAACAAAGCTTACAACTGGCATTTGTCATAAACAGGTTTACCGAGGGAGGTTAATATGAATGAAAAAATATTTTTTCTGTTTGTGTGCCCATTTTCTGTTAGAATAACTCATTCACTGAATCACATACTGTTGATGCATATAGATTGAAACAGACTCATTTAAAAATTACTGTTTACATCTTTCCTTTAAAATTTTAGGAAGCCTAAATTATATAGCAGTTGTAGGATATTATTCAGAAATTACTTTCTAAAAAGTAAAAGTGGATGTCAACAAAAAAAGTAGGTGGGGGATGAACATTGCCAGAAGCCAGAAAATCTCTAAGCAAAGCTGCTAATTATTCTTAATGGGCAAGATGAGCACATTAAGAAACAAATGAATACATCAGTGAATTGTAATTGAAAATCGACCTAGCAATCGCACATCACATCTGAGTATTGGCCTGTATATTATTCTCATCATTTAAAAAATTATTTTTGTTGTTCTTGGCATCTGAATTTAATGAATCTAACTGAGCCTTACTTCCTAGTCTCTTCATTTTCTAACATTCTGATTCTTAGCTTTCTAAAAAATAAAGCATTTCCTGATATTTCCTTTTTATCTTCTGTTATTTCTGGTTTGTTTTTTTTTTTTGTTTTTTTTTTGTAAATATGTGAGGCAATGAAAGAATGCGCTCTGAATCTTTAGATCATAGAAATTTAACAACCAGTTGTGAGGTTATTTTATTTATTCCTAAAATGTATCAAGTGGATTGGCTATGTGTTCTAGAGCTTTCTACCTTGATCCTGGAAAACTAGATGTTGATTTGAGATTTGTTAAGCAGAGATATCCAAAAAGAGATTAAGACCCGAGGTATAAGTGAATGTTGTAAGTCCTGAACGTTTTTTCAGACTCACGGGTAGACGCTGCTGAGGCTCTCCTTGGTCCTTAAACTCCACTGCAGGCTCGAAATCAGAGCCCCGCACCTCAGAGCTGCCTCTCCTTGCAGATGCCATAATTTAGCTGTACCCAAGCAGAACAAAGGATAAGTTAGAAAAGGACATCATTTGGTTCATCCATTTCTCAAAGTTATCCTAAAATAGTGTGAAATGTGTTCCCCTTTCTCTGTCACAGCCCTTTTAGTGTAGTAAAGAATTCTCAAAGTAAAGTAAAGTAACCTCCTAAAGTAAAGGGTGGGGAGCAGAATGTCAGAATATACCTCTTAAGGTAATATTTTAATACACTTTGGCCCACAGATAACAATTACTCCATAAAGTTTGTGGCTGACGATGGCAAGGGCATAACAATAGGGAAGAGGACAGATATACTCAGGTATTATTGATGCTGAACTTCTTCCAAATCATAATGAATAAAAAAAGTGCAGCACCTAAGCGGGGCAGCCCTCTCTGCCACACTCGCGAACTGGCCCCACACCAGCACCCTGCCTTGATCTATCCTTAGGAAGCCGCAAGTGCGTTATCTGCAGAATATGGCAGCACTTGACGACCCATTTCCTGTGCTCCTGACCCAAGCGCCTTATGTGCACAACGTGCACAGCCTGGTTCATGATGTGAAAAGCAAGGTTCCTCAAAAATTGGTAAATTGCCTGTACATTTTAAAGGAGATACCCCTGGCTTAACATTATTTTAACAGAATCCTGGTTTTAAGGGATTAATAAAAGGAGCCTCATGTGGACCATGCAGCCTGTGTTGTGGCTGGTTGAGACTTTGGGAACGCCAGGCCATCGTCCTGCATCCGAGCCCCTTGCTCCAATATCAGTGACAGCTGAAATACGGATGCCAGTGCTTCTCTTTACTAGGTGGGCCATAAATGGACTCCGTGTGCCTCACTTTGGGGAAGAACTCAACAAATAGATTAGTTAATTAATTAAAATTAATTCAACCAGTATTAACTGAATGCATTTCAGGTGCTAAAATGCAGCAGAGGACAAAGTAGACCAAGTCCCTGTCTTTGTGGGACACAGGCCCTGCCTTGGCTAGAGGACGTTGATGTATGTGCAGGACACTGGAAACCTACACAGCAGAAGATCTGTGATTCCCTCCAGTTATTTAAATTCTACAATATAAGTGTTCACTTAATTAATTCCAAGAAGAAAGGAAAGAAGATAAAGCTTAATTGCCAAAACTTAGTTATAGTCACCAACCTCTTCATCCCTCCAAAGCTTTTACTTGAATTATTGAAAAATGAAATGAATCGATATGAATTAGGCACCTACTATGTGTCAGGCTTCTCATATGGGATACTCCATTAAGCTTGTATAATAGGTATCATTATAGTGGGTATCATTATTTCTGTCTTTGAGGTGGAATTCAGAGAGGTTAATTTACCCAAGTTCACACAGCCACTAAAAAATCAGAACCAGCACTAGAAACCAGGTTCATTTGATTTCAAAGCATTAACATGGGTAGGCAAAGGTAGGTTTAGAATTGTTCATATGGAAAAAGACATGCAGGTTATGATTATTTCACTAGCTTTATTAACTCAAAAGTCTGGCCTTCATTATTTACACATTCTTGTAACCTACTTGCTATACTCAAGCACACTTTGGCACAGAGTTCTTTATAAAGCTACTTTTGCTCACCTCTGTATATTTTTTCCCATCAAACAGTTCTGTTTTACCAAAAGTTAGAATGATTTCATGAGTATCATCTTGTATTTTCTCAGAGCCCTCTGGAAGAAAAGTTCTCTCATCCAAGAGCAACAGATGACATTGTTAAGAGTTCAAAACTCCTTTATGTCATTTTCTCAATTCGTTTGAGTAATAAACACATTTAGGAATACCTTGCAGCCTTCAAAGTAGCAAACGTTGTCACATCATGTAATTTAAAAAACTTTGGACATCAAAATGAACAGGGTTTACATTATAATTTCATAGTTCCCTACCTTCACCTTTTAACGTTCCAATGAAAATAAAGGAAACATGAACCAAGAAAGTAACGCATTGTGAACCACAGTGTTATTATTTTTAAAATATTTTCTTGCTTAAAAAATAATACCAATTCTCAAAATGTATATGCAACTACCAATAAATATTACGATTACTAACTGCAGAAAGAAGTTAATGTTGTAAACAATGGTTTATATGTACTATATGTAACATAATTTGTTTAAATAAATGTTATTGTTATTATGCAAAAATGTATATTTTAAGAAGAAAACTCAGCTGAAACAAAGTTAACATGGAGCCCCACTCCTAAACTATTCTTTATTTAAGAAGGAAACTGGAGCTAGAATCCTGGTTTCCTTTCAGCCTATACTTTTGGAAGTCCAGTTGCCCAGACAAGGAGATTGGAGGTGATTACTCTGTATCCATTTAATCAGAAATCACTAAAGCTTTCTTTCCACCCAGCACCTCCCACTGAAGCCTTCCAGAAGGTGGGTGCAATTCAGAGAGCACAATTTGGTCCATCCTGTTCAAAACTGCCCTGATGTATTGACTCCATTTGATTGAATTTCCTTTATTACCCTGAGGTGACAAAGAAGAAAGATAAAATCTATTAGTGAACACAGTGCCAACTAGAGGGACCACTTCAAAATCTGACCTAAAGTAAAGGGTGGGGAGCCAAATGTCAGAATATATCTCTTAAGGTAATAAATATTTTAATACACTGTCGACATTTTTTTCCCTTTTTGTACTTGTTTTAATATAAAAGGCACCTCCTAAACCACAAAATATATTTTCCTTCCAGTTCTAAAAATAAAGAAGCCTAAATACTATGAATTCCTTTTTCATTTCAAGAATTGCTTCTAGAATATAAATACTTACGCTTGCTTCAGCTTGACCACCTGGAGCCACGGGTTTATAAATTGTATAAAAGTATACAGTGTTAAGATGTTTACTGAAAATTATTAATAGGTTTTCAGAGTTATATAATTTAACTTCCCTATGACTACTTTATAAAAAGTATTACCTCAACTAACAAAATAACATGTTTTGCTTGATAAATTAGCCATGTGCTCCTACGACGCTACAGGTGTGCCTGTCCCATTACGGCTTGCTGGGGGGTGTCATGGGAACGCTGAATAAGGTGTGGCCAGAGTCAGGGGGAGCTTAATCAAAAACAGTTGTCGGTTGAGTCTACTGATTTTGCTCTCAGAATAAAGATGTCAGCTGTCCTTTTCTACAAGACATTCCATGTAGAAGACTTTCCTGAAATACTTTCTTCCTGAAATAGAACTGTAGGCCGATGTGTCATTTTAGTTAATCAAAACAAGTAGGCAAATTAGTCTCTTTTATTTTTTTAATGAATGTAATTTAACGGTATTTAATTTGCATACAGGAAAGTTCATCCAGGAAAAAAAAAAAGTCTGCATTATAGCACTTTTGTAAACCTCAACAAAGCCCTTCATTAGGAGACCTAATTGATTTTTCCTACCCACTCCTGGGGGAAGAAAGCTATCACAGTACCTGCTTATTCACTCAGAGAAGGAATGGGTGTGCCTGGCGTTTCAAGCAGAGATCTGGGTTAAAAAGTCCTGGGGCTCTGTTCTTGAGGGGAGATCTTGGCCAATGCTTGTTTCCAGCACTCAGGCAATCTGTTTTTCTGAGCAATAGGGGAACATCGCTTGTCCGCTTGGTGTCCTCCCCATGGGCCCAATTTAGTTCAGCTTGCAGCCTTCGCTGGAATTATTTTATTTCTTGCTTATTTAAACCTGCCCTATTCCAAAAGAAAGATTTTGAGGTTTCTTACAGTGACACATAGAATATGCCATATAAAAAAAATGAGAAAGTGAGGGCAATTGAAAATTAGAAAGCCAAAAAAATATAAAATATGATGAAGCCAGGAATGGAGGCCAATATAGAATATACACGCAATAGGAGTCCTTGCGGTTATTCAACTTGGGTCATACATTTGGCCCTGAATTGCACAGGGACTAGAGCAAAAAGAGAAAGAGGAATAGTTATAAGACTTCTAGTGTCCAGCAGTTGAAGCACAACTAGTCAACCTGAAGTCTAGCTTTTCCCATATTAGAACCCAATATGATTTTCCCCATGGCCCTCATTAAGGTGGTGTTGTGTGATGTAATGGACTAGCTCCTCACAACATCTTTTTAATAAACATGGCTCTTTCTGTACAAGGCCTTATGCACCAGCAGATGGCCAAAGGCCAAAGCATTAGTCTGTTAGGACGGTTCTTCAAGGGGCCTTCCAACTGGATTGACTTCCATCTTCAGTAATTTGCTTCCTATCAAAGATTTTCCAAGCTTTTCTCCGTCTTTCTCGTCTCACTTTCTCCCAGGTCTTTCCCTGCAGCTCATCCCCACCCTCCCTTAAAACATTTAGGAGACTGAAAATATTTCAACTTGGAAAGTCTCAGAAGACTGCTATTGACCTCCCCACTGCCGGGAAGACCTTTGCCTTTTAAGCAAGTGGGGCCTGGTACCTATGGGATAGTCCTCTCCTCTCTACCATTGCCCATCCCCCTGGGCCTTGCTGCGATGCTACCTGAATGTACATTCCCCAGGCAACAAAACTGCAGCCCAGGGAATTAAAGGGCTTGCCTGTGGCAAGTAATTCAATATTTGGTGGTAGAGCCAGGGCTGGAACCTTCTCTGCCGGTATTGTATCCTATAGCTCTTCCCTTTTCACTGCAGAGATCTCATGTCCAATAAGATTACTGTGTTTGTGGGCTTTTATTTATTCATTTTTTTAAGTTGATTGACAGTCACTGCAGAAGCTTCCTTAACTGTGTGTCCAATAGATGTGAGAGACCTCATCGAAAGGAATCAGAAGGCTGGTGTATTTAAGACTCAGAAAATATCAAGCTGGTAAGATACCTTTCTGCATCAAAACACTGGCAGAAACTGCTTTTCTCCATACTGTGGGTGATGATTAAAGATAATAATAGCTAACATTTAGTGAGCACTTACTGTGCGTCAGGCATTGTTCTAAGCACTTCAAAAGTATCTTATTTAATGTCACAAGAACCCATAATAAGGCAGGCAAGCATTCTCATCACCTTAATTAATTAATTAATAGATGAGAAAAAGTGAAGGTAAGTATATTATACACTGGATGGGAATTATTTAGGGTTGGGAGTATACAGTGTGATGTTGGGAGAAACCCAGCCTGGGACCTTCAATGAATGGCTGTATTCCACTTGTTCTCAACACGGGGGCACCTTTTTATTGTCATGACTAGGGGGAGGGGTTGCTAATGGCATTCAGTGGGTAGAGGCCAGGGATTCTGCTAAACATCCTACAATGCTCAGGACGACCCCCACAACAAGGAAGTGTCTGGCCCAAAATGTCAATAGCGCCAACATTGAGAAACTCTGCTTGATTCCATGATTTTAAAATAGCCTAGGTATCCATTCCTGTTTAGACATTGTTAATTCTTATCCAAACAAGGAGAAGTGCTTACCCTCATCAATGTAGTGCTACATTTTATTTTTACCCTGTTGGTATGGGCCCAGAGGAGTGAGTAAACATTTAATAGTTTTCCCATGAAATACCTGTATTTGTGAATTTTTCTATCATATGCTTAGCCCAAAACCTTATTAGAACAATCTAATTGTTAATTATTTAATTTATTATGGTTGAGGGTGTTTTTCCACTCCAACTGCTCAGTTTGGGTGCCGATGAAGAGCAATAATGCTTAAAAACTAAAGCGATCAACATATCAAGATGAGGCTACGGAATAGCAATAATTCTATTTCTGTTAGCTTGGTTGGTGAATGTTATGAAGTGTCCGGATATGTATTTTTAAATCCTGCATTAGAATGTTGGCTGATGGCAAGGGGGAATGTGTTCTGAGTTTCTCATAGGAATGAGCAAACCAGCTCTGTTTCCCAGCAAACCTCTGGCAGGTCTGGAGAAAGAGCAGTCTGTTCCCTGCTCTTCATTCTTAGGACAGCCTTCACTCCGCAATGCAGGCTGCCATTCCCTTCTGGGGAGGACTTCATTTTTGGATGTGATTTTCAACCTGGTCTTTTAGTCATCAATCAAAAGCACATTTCCTATGTTGTCCTCATTTACATTTATTTAATGCTTAAGGTCATTTGTGACCATTTGAGTGTATTTCAGCATATGGAATCAGGGAATAATAGATTTCAGCATCATGCTGTGAAGAGAGATTGTGTTTTTCCAAGACATAATGTTGTTTACTGGGTGTTAATAATCACTAATTAATAAACATATCTAGACTTCTTAAATGTTGCATTTTGAGGAATGAAAATGTCAAGTGTTTAACTTAGGGAGTGTAATAGTGTTTTCTATCATCTCTTCATAAAATAAGTTACATAAAGAAGCAAAATGTCATTGTTCAACACAGGACATATCCAAGATGCTCAGTACGTGGTCTTTGTTTCTGTAATCTGTTCTCAAGAATGCTATTTCTAAGTGCATTGTTCTGATATGTACCTAGACATATAGTCTGTATGTCAACAGTCATATAGGAACCTCTAAGATGGTAATTTTATCTTTATTTCGTATTAGCTCTGGTCAGTTTCTTCCTTTTTAACCAGCCCAAGCATTTTGTCCAAAGTCGACTAAGGCATTTTGTCAGAAAACAGGTGGATGAGCCAGTCTTTGAAATGCCTTGATCTCATATTAAGAAGCTACTTGACCACTTAACCTTCAAGAAGCTAAGAGGAAACTGCCAACCAATGATGTAATAATCAGTATTCCCCTTCTCTCCACAGCTTCCCCACCCATCACCAGTACAATATGATAAAAGCATTAGCTCCATGTGAGAAGAAATAAAATAAACCACTCACAGAAGAGCTAAGATATGGCTCAATATTCTTTTTTATTGCCTCAATGCATATGCAGAATTTCTCCAAACTGGAGGTGTGGAATAACAGTAGCAACAGATAACTAAGAGGTATTTACCATAGCTACAAAGCCCACACGTGAGCCAAATATTTCTGCTATTAAAAAGCACTTCAAAGCTTGACATGAAGTTTATAACAGCTAAATGTCTCCTGTGACTTCATTTGCAAAGAAGATATAAAAGCAGAAAGGTAAATCATGATATGAGAACGGTGAGCCTAGGAAATTGTGTTTTAAAAAGGAGTAAGAAACCACCCAGAAATGTGACTGGCACTCCAAGTGCCCATTGTCGCTGCTCTGACAACGAACGCTCTCAGTGGCAACCAGCATCCTGCCTAGGATCAAGCAAGCCTCTGCCTACCTCTCAGGCCGGGCAGACCTCAGGCTGTGTGGGGCCTGAAACTTATTCTGGGGCCTTCTTTAGGGGGGTGAATTTTATTATACCTTACTTTGGCAAATTTAACGGGAGTGAAGTACCATGTGAACTCATTACGTGGGCTCCTCATGGGCCTCGGCAGGGGCCTGTGCAAGTGAGGGGTCCCGGCACTTAAACTTCATTAGCTTTGCAGGAAATTCACCCCTGCTCTCATAAACACTGCCAGCCTTGCCCAGAATAATGCTCCTCCCTTATAAACTTTCTTACTCCCTCTGTTCCATTTTAATCCCAGTTTGTTGCTAAATATGAAAGACAGGTTTGCAAAAGCCCCGAGGCTTTATCCCTGGCCAGGAGAGATCCAGGATGTTCTTCTATGAAGCATATAGCCATTACATCTCAAAGATCTTAATACAGTCATTTGATGTTTTATTCATTTGTTCATTCTTGCAGCTATCCATTCATTTAATTATGTCCAAGGTATTCTGCCTTGAGAACATAAATGTGGAGTAATCAAGAATAATTCCTGAACAAAGGAAATTGTGCTGCTAAATATAGCTAGAGATTGGTGAAAGAGCAAAGATATTTACAGCATCTCAATTGTTAGGTTTATCTGAAGCTGTCTTGAAAACGGTGGCTGTCTAATAAAGAACCATTCAGAGCTTTTGACGTCTACCTATTTCTAGGTGTTCCAGAATTAGTGAATGGCGTCATTCTCTGGTTAATATTAACAGTTACAACATTTTAAAAAATCTATTAAATGTACCCTGCTGTGATATTAAAAGTGAATTTCTATTTAAGAAAAAAGGTTATCTTTGTGTGAAAATTGTTAGTGAATTTAGGCCTGAGACTTTTATTATTCTTTGATAAACCATTAATCTTAGTAAACTATGGAACTTATTATAACTTTAAGACTTTTTTAATAACTCAAATTATACCTTTTTGTGGGCCCCCAGGATTGGCTATTGGCCCCATTGCCCTACTTCCTTTTAAGATTTACATCTTTCCTGAGGCTCGTTTTTCTTTAGATATTAAATTGAGGGTGTGAAAAATGATTTTTAAAATGTAAACCCCACCCCAGTGCGATCTGATTGGTGATTTTTCCAGGCCTCTGCAGTCTCCTCACTTTTCCTCATTCTCTTCCTTCCATCTGGCTTCCACTGCTCCCCAACAAATACCTTCCCCTTTGACGCCCGAGCCTCTGCATTCTCCTCCTAATACATTTGGCCCTTCCCATCTCTGGACTTTGCAAGTCTTATCCCGTCCTCCTTGTCCATCTAAGTCCTTCCTTCTAGGATGACTTAATTACCCTTTCTCAGACCATTTAAGCTTGCCTTCATCTTTTCCTTCTTTTAATTTCTATTGGCCTTAAAATAGTCCCACAGTAAAACATGGCATATTCTCTTATTTTTGAAAGCATGCTGTCTTCGTTTTCATGTTCCTTGGTGTATTCATTTCTTGAGATTATTTTGATCCCCTCTGTCTGCCAAGTGCTATTCAAAGTGCTGGAGATACAGTAATGAACAAGACTGAGAAAGTCCATGTCTTCTTTTTCTCTAAATTATATTTTATTGATTATGCTATTACAGATGTCCCAATTTTTCCCCTTTCGCCCCTCTCCACCCAGCACCCCCCATTCCCTCAGGCACTCCCCACACCATTATCCACAGGTCATGTGTATAAGTTCTTTGGCTACTCCATTTCCTATACTGTACTTTACATCCCCATGGCTATTCTGTAACTACCTATTTGTATTTCTTAATTACCTCACATCTTCGCCCATTCCCCCACACCCCGCTTCCCACCTGGCAGCCATCAAAACGCTCTCTGTATCCATGATTCTGTCTCTGTTCTTGTTTGCTTAGTTTGTTCTTTAGATTCAGTTGTTGATAGATATGTATTTATTGCCATTTTGTTGTTCATAGTTTTGATATTTTTTTCCTTAACTAAGTGCCCTTAACATTTCATATAATAAATGGTTTGGTGATAATAAACTCCTTTAGTTTTTTTCTTATCTGGGAAGCTCTTTATCTGCCTTTCGATTCTAACTGATATCTTTGCTCGGTGAAGCAATCTTGGCTATAGGTCCCTGCTTTTCATGACTTTGAATATTTCTTGCCAATCCCCTCTAGCCTGCAAAGTTTCTTTTGAGAAATCAGCTGACAGTCTTATGGGAAATCTCCTGTAAGAAACTAACTGCTTTTTTCTTGCTGCTTTTAAGATTCTCTTTTTATTTTTAACCTTTGGCATTTTCACTATAATATGTCTTGGAGTGGGCTTTTGTGCATCCAACTTGTTTGGGGCTCTCTGTGCTTCCTGGACTTGCATGTCTATTTCCTCCACCAAATTAAGGAAGTTTTCTTTCATTTCTTTCAAACAGGTTTCCAATTTCTTGTTCTTTCTCTTTTCCTTCTGGAACCCCTATGATGCAAATGTTAGATGCTTAAAGTTGTCTCACAGGTTACCTACACTATCCTTGTTTTTTTGGATTCTTTCTTGTTCTTGTTGTTCTGATTGGTTGTTTTTTGCTTCTTTAAGTTCCAAATCATCGATTTGATTCTTGGCTTCATCCACTCTACTGTTGTTTCCCTGTCAATTGTTCTTTATTTCAATTAGTGTAACC